TGATGGTGGTGATGGGTGATGGTGGTGGTGGTGGTGGTGATGAGAATGGTGGTGGTGGCGGTGATGATACATCTTTACACCACAGGCATTTGGGGGCCGTAATCATGCTAGCTGAGCCATCATCCTGAGGTAAAGTGCCATTTTTTTTTTTTGGCGACAGTGACACCTACAGCTTCCCCTTCATCCCCTTTCTCAACAGGAAATGCTTTGGTTTGCTAACCAAGGAACGGACTCACTAGAGTCATGCTAAACAGGGAGATCTGACTAAGAAACAGGACTCGGTAGGCTGGGCCTGCAGGTAGTGCCCACCTGGGGCCTCAGCCCAGGGCCAGGCCGAATGAGCTCATGACACTGAGTGTGTAGGAGCTTCAGCTTCGGGGAAATGCTGCCCCTGGCCCAGGACAGGGGGCTCATGGCCCCGCCTCTCTCCCTGTCTCCCCTTCTTCCTCAGTCCTCCCCTCCTTAAGAGTTCATAAGCACATTTAAAAAATCTCTCATTTCAGAGGCTGGCCATGGACCCCCGGTGCAAAGGGATGCCCCTCTCTAGCTTTATACTGAAGCCCATGCAGCGGGTCACCAGATACCCACTCATCATTAAAAACGTGAGTACCGAAAGGGCAGGGAGGGCCTGGCGGGGCCCGGGTCACGGGAGCTCCCCAGCCAGCACCAGGCTGCTGTGCACAAGTCACATGCCAACAGTGTCATATTAATAACCACTGGGGGACTCCCTCACCCCCCACCCCCCCGCCCCCTGGGAAACCAGAGCTCCTCTCTGGGTTCTTTCCCTGCGACACACAGAGTGAGCGCTCATTAGGTCTTGATTTTATCAGCAAGAAATAAATGTGACTGTGAGAGTTCCAGCGCTGAGACTAGGGGCTGTTTGTTTTTCTGCTGTGACGTCAAGAAAGTCAACACCAAAGTAAAAGGGGAAGAACTAGAGTTTGGTGGTTCCCACCTAAAGCTGTTCACCAAAATGGGCCAACAGACGCAGGAGCCCTCTGAGCCGCGAGGAGGTCGCCACACAGAGGCCAGCCCCTGGCCAGGCATTGTGGACCTGGGGCCGTAAGTGGAGAGTTTTTGCTCCGGACACGTCTGGGTCTGGCTCGGGCAGAGGCGGGAATGAATGCGTGTCCGTCCACACGCACACACTCACGCCGGGACGTGCAGACAGACTCCTAGAGCAGCGCTGTGGATTATCGTACCCGCTGCGTTCACACTGACCCTCCACTTTTAATCTAATACTATAGAATTTACTCTCAGCTTCCCTGTTGCTATACTTAGAGCTCCCTTCTCTGTGCAGTTGATGGACCAGGAGAGAGACATTCTGTAGGGAGAAGCCCACACATTATTGCCCTTGCTTCAGGCACAGCCCTCCTGCACCCCAGGTATAAGTGATACAGCATCCCTGACCTCCAAGGGCACCCCACCGGGTACCCCACAGTGAGGCGTGGTCGACGGTCACTGCACAGTGAGTTCTCCGAGAGGCTCAGAAGGGCCAAGTCGCCCCTGCTCCTGCCGGGCCCCAGCCGCGGGACAGCCCACCCAGGCCCACCAACTGCCTGAAGCCGCTGTCTCTGACCTCTGCAGATTCTAGAAAACACCCCTGAAAACCACCCCGACCACAGCCACTTGAAGCACGCTCTGGAGAAGGCGGAAGAGCTGTGCTCCCAGGTCAACGAAGGGGTGCGGGAGAAGGAGAACTCCGACCGGCTGGAGTGGATTCAGGCTCACGTGCAGTGTGAGGGCCTGTCTGAGGTAGGGCCGGCTAGCCACGCCTGCTGGGCCTCGGCAGCCAGCCTGAGGGCAGGAGAACGTCCGTCTGTCCGCCTTGCTCGCCACCCGCTCTCCTGCCCCTCGCTGGAGTAGCTGGTGACCTGCTCCTTAATCCGCCCGCTGAATTGTTTGTTTCATGAGAGTGGACCCTTGAGCAACATGGGCTGTCCAGGCTCAGATATTCTTGTGATACCAACGGTGAAATTGATGATAGAGACACAGCCCAGAGCTATCAATCGACTTGGAGAATTTCTTATAACATCCTCTCTTTCTCGCTTACTTTAAGGATAAACATATGACACGTATACGAGACGTGTGTCGGTTGGCTGCTGACATTGTGCCTTGGGCTCCCTACTGAGATGATTAGTCGCTATAAATTCTATGCCCATTTTTGGACAAGAGAGGGGTGCAGGGCCCCTGCTCCCGTGTTGTTCAAAGGTCAGCTGTATTCTCGTTTCTATGGCAGCAGCTCTATTTATTTTCTCAAATCTCTGGTTTCTTTCTTGTGTCTTTCTCCTACAAGTGCTTCTCATGCATTTATCAATACTTTTAAAACATATTCCTGGACATTGCAAAGCTGGTCATTCCAAGGTGGAAAGTCGTGGTTCCCACTGTGTGAGCCCGGCCTGCTGGCTCTTTGCTCCTTTCCATTCCCCCTGTGAGTGAAACCATGTTCTTTGTCCATCTGATCTCATGCTGAAGGGAGCAGTGGGGAGACAGGAGAGGCCTGCTGTGCCCTGTGGGTCACTCCCTGGCTGGGGATCAAACTCGGCTGCAGTGGCTTTGAATTGCTTCATAGTGCTGACACAGAAGACCGTGTGCCACCGGGAAGGCCCTGGAGTTCACCTTTTTGACAGCCAAGTAATATTCTGTTATCCTTATACAGCACATCTTCTTGCTCCACTCTGTCCGGGCACTTAGCTTGCTCCCATGACTTGGCGGTGGTGAAGGGAGCTGCAGTGACCTCGAGTGCAGGGAGCTGTCACTGGGTGTGTCATGTTGTTTGACTACATCCTTAGACTGGAATAGCCGGACTATACAACAGCTCTATTTACTTATTTTTTTGAGGAAGCTCCATACTGTTTTCCCGAGTGGCCGCACCAATTTACATTCCCACCACAGTGAACGAGGGCTCCCTTTTTCTCTGCACCCTTGCTAATACTTGCTTCTCTCATTGATTCATCTATTTATCATTTACATGCCGTTCTCACAAGCGTGAGGCGCTTGTCCCTAGTAGTGATGATGATGACCCTTTGTTCACGCACTGGCCGGCCTCCACATGATTTCAGGCAGGTGGGAGAGGCTGGGGGTCTCGACTTCTTCCAGTAATAACAGGGAGAAGAGCAAGCATCACCCTGAGACACTCGCAGGCCCCCAGGGTATGAGCACTAGGGGCTAGGACCAAACTCGTCATGGCGCTCAGACCCCAAAAGCACCGTCTGGAAGCGCCAGTCTTTGAGTTGAGCAGACCAGATCCAGGGAGCCCCAGCTCCCAGACCAGAGAGACATCCAAACCTCTGTTCATCGCCTCTTCTTTGGGTCTTGTTTTCCTTTCTCAGCAACTTGTGTTCAACTCGGTGACCAACTGCTTGGGGCCACGCAAGTTTCTGCACAGTGGGAAGCTCTACAAGGCCAAGAGCAACAAGGAGCTATACGGCTTCCTCTTCAACGACTTCCTCCTGCTCACCCAGATCATCAAGCCGCTGGGCTCCTCCGGCACCGACAAAGTCTTCAGCCCCAAATCCAACCTGCAGTACAAGATGTACAAAACAGTAAGTGAGCATGCAGGCGCAAGGTCAGGGCTGGTGTGAGGAGGAGTTTCCAGAAGGAGCCAGGTGGGCTGTGGGGCTGGGGACCACGGTGCAGAAAGGGCCCAGCGGAGAGCCAGGGCTGAGGGCGCCAGAGGAGGGTGACGGGGTCCCACCGTGGCTCCGTGGCAGCGTGAAAGGAAGGAGGCTGCGTTGGATCGATGAGCCATCTAGGAGCTTGTAAAGCTGCCGAGGGGAGCAAGGCACCCCTCTCTGTAGGGGCTGGTGGCCGAGCATGCAGGGGCTGGGGTGGGAAGTCTGGGGTCAGGGCTCAAGCGCCCATCTTCCGGACGTCCCGGAGCGCTCCCCAAAGGAGGCTGGGAAGTCTGCGTGTCCTCACCTGCCCAGCACGGAGCAGTCCGGACGGGGTGCTCGGCTTCCCCAAGCTGGCTGTCTGTCTGTCTTCTGCTCCACCGACTTGGCCGGGAGGGGTGTTTTCGTGTCAGGGATACTGCTTTTCTGAATTTGTCTCTGTGGGGATGTTTTCACGATTTTTCCCCGGAAGCAGCAGTTCGTCTTATGTTGAGAAGCAGAGCAGGGAGATAGAAGCTGGATGAACATCTCTGGAGGGAACTGCTTGGTGGTGACATGATGATGAGCCTGCTGATGAGGGCTTGCCAAGGGGGAGACAAAGCAGCCAGCTCTCACTCGGGATGTGAATATTAACTGGATGCAGGATGTGAATATTAGCTGCAGCAGGGCCGCAGGAATCCAGGGCAGTAACTTGCCATCTCTGGAAGTTGGTGTCGACACAGCATCACCACTCTGCTGCGGCCTCCTGGAACACGCCCCGCCCCGCCCTCACACACACGCGGCTTTCTGGGCCTTGTCTACACATCAGCACACACGCAGTCATCATACTTACTGGCGGGCCGATCTGCTCATCTGACGACTGTGCCTGATTTTTCAGCCCATTTTCCTCAACGAGGTTCTGGTGAAGTTACCCACCGACCCGTCTGGGGACGAGCCCATTTTCCATATTTCCCACATCGACCGCGTCTACACCCTGCGGGCCGAAAGCATAAACGAAAGGTGAGACCTGCCCTGCCCCACACCTGGGCACCAGCTGCAGACACGCGGCGGGCGCTGAGCATGCCAGCAGGCCCCGGCCCCTCCCAGCGGCCAGGGGCGGGGGGCCCCTCTCACTGTGGCCTCTTAGGAGTGGGACGCATCGCATGGCTTGGTCAGATTAAAGAGACTTGAAAATAATTTTGCGTGAGAACTCTGAAAGCCGTTTTCAGCATTGTCTGAGATAAAGGGGCATCTCAGGTTTCCCACGGTGGCCCAGCTGGCACCAGAGGGAAGCAGTCTGGGGGCGAGCTGGGCCCTGGCTGGCATCTGGGCTTCAGCTTTGTCTTCAAGACTCTGCTCTGAAGCCAGGGGAAATCGACTGTGTCCTGAGGGTGAACTTGACCCAGAGCGAAGCCCATTCCCCCACCAGCGTTTGTGTCAAGCAAGGACCTGGCTGAGGGGTTGTGCTGGTGCCTCTGGGGGTAGCCGGAGAAGCAGCGTCCCTGCCTGGAGGGGCTTGGCCACCCCCCGGTGGGTCAGTGAGCGCTGCCCTGGCTCCGGACAGCTCCCCGCCAGGCTCGCCTTGTCCACTCTCCCCGGGACACGGAGACGGTCTTGAGCACATCTGCAAACACACCCCCGCCTGCCTTTCTCAGCCGTGAGACCTGACACAGAACTGGACTCTGCCGAGGGCTCGTTGTTCAAAGCAAAGGGACGATGCGGAGTCCCGGGGCGGACTTCGAGCCCGAAGCCGTGAGGCGTCTCCTGAGATCTGTCAGGCACCTTTTTGTCTTTTCCTTTCCAAGGACTGCATGGGTGCAGAAGATCAAAGCCGCTTCCGAGCTCTACATAGAGACGGAGAAGAAGAAGCGGGAGAAGGCATACCTGGGTAAGCACTGCTCGTGGCAGGCGCGTGGCTCCTGCCCTGTGCTTGGGCTCAGGACTCTTAGAGCTGGACATGGGCCTGGAGGTGGGGGCGGGGGTGGGGGCGGGAGAGCAGGTGCAGCTGAAGGGCGGAGGGCCCGGCGGGAGCAGGGAGGCCTGTTCAGGCCAGGGGGAGCTGGGTCTGCCGTGGGCCGGGAGCCCCGTCTGTGTCACACCCCATGCTGTCTCCTCGCCCTCCCAGTCCGTTCCCAAAGGGCCACAGGCATCGGGAGGCTGATGGTGAATGTCGTTGAAGGCATCGAGCTGAAGCCCTGTCGCTCCCACGGTAAGGCCCCTCCGGCCAGCCAAGACACCCCTTTGGCCTGCCCGCCCCCACCTGGCCTTAAACGCAGCGCTATTTCTGGCACCCCAAATTCCTTTCAGAACGGATTTTTCTAGCACTGGTTAAAAGTCAAGACTTACAGTTTTTGTTTAAAAGATTTATTTATTTATTCATGCTTACAGAACTGGGGTACAGGCCAGAGGTGTGGGGGGTGAGAGGCTTCACCAGAGACAGAGTGGGGAGCAGGACAGGCCGACTGACAAAGTACAGTGCTGAGGGGAGCAGCGGGCGGGTCAGGAGAGGTCTGCCGCGCCATGTGGTCACCTCCGGGGCAGGCGGGGATCGAACTCATGTGGAAGTGGCTTTAGCTTCTCAGTGCTGTGCTTTAACCCGCTGCGCCACCAGGGAGGGCCCTTAATGTCCCTTTCTTTTTTAAAGATTTCTTTGCGCATACAGAACCGGGGTACAGGCCAGAGGTGCAGGCTGGGGCGCAAACAGGCAGATGGACAAAGTACACTGCTGAGGGGAGCAGCGGGCGGGTCAGGAGAGGTCTGCGGCGCTCTGTGGCCCGCTGCCCTGGTCCGCGGGGAATCGAACTCGTGCTGCAGTGGCTTCGGAGAGCCACCAGGGAGCGCCCGAGTTACAGTTTTCTGACCCTTCCCACCGGCTTGCTTTTCCCTGCCCCCTCTCCCGCGCGAGCTGTGCCTGGGCAGGCGAGAAGAGCCTGGGCGTGCTCAGTACCAAGCTAAATTGTGGGCGTCTTTTTGCCTGGACCCTCCATTTTGTGTCACGTACTAAGCGTGGCAATGGGGGTCCCGCCGCCGGGGTGGGGTCCGTGTCGCTCTCTGCCGGTGAGAGCCCGCGGCCAGCAGGGGTCACCCGGCTGTCACTTCGCCGCAGGGAAGAGCAACCCCTACTGCGAGGTGACCATGGGATCCCAGTGTCACATCACCAAGACCATCCAGGACACCCTGAACCCTAAGTGGAACTCCAACTGCCAGTTCTTCATCAGAGACCTGGAGCAGGAGGTTCTCTGCATAACCGTGTTTGAGAGGGACCAGTTCTCTCCAGACGGTGAGTGGGGTGCCCCCCTCCGCCCGGTGACCCCTTTTTTGCCGCCTGCTTTCTGGGGCCAGTGTTCTCTACCTGGGAACCTGGCTCCCAGAATTCCCTGGGCTTCCCTCTGGAGAGCTGAGGTTGGCGAACGGCCAGCATAGCTTCCCCTCAAAGGGAACCCCTGCTGGTCCCCAATTTCAGAGAAGGAGGCACTCACTCTTGGTCCAGCTGCCCAGGACAAAGAGCACCCCTGTTCTTCCCTCCCAATAAGGAGGCACCCCAAAGCCTCAGCGCTTTGTCCTTGGCCACAAGTCCTGGTCGCAGGGGATAAAACTGGTCAGATGAGCCAGAAAAATGTTGGGGGGTGAGGACTCAGCCCCCTGGGTGGCGTTTCTGGCTGCTCAAAGGGGCGGGGTTGTGGTGGGGGAAGGTTCCTGCAGACAGTTTGTGTTTCTGCTTTGGGCCCGATAGAGGGCAGCTCTGGCCAACATTTCAGGGAATGGTTGAAAGCGATTAAAAAAATTCTTTTTATTTAAAGAGGAAATTTATTAGAAAGAGACAGGAGAGGAAAAGACCCTTGCGTAGGCACAAGCCGGAGGAAGAGCTGCCCCGAGGGACAGGTTTGCAGAGAGTTCTGCATGGCTGCAGGCCAGCAGCCTTAGGAGGTGGCCTGAGCTGAGGGAGGTCAGTGCAGACAGGTCCCGGCAGGTGCAGGGCACTGGCGGGCAGGAGGCTGCTGCCCTGCAGAGGGAGAGAGCGGGTGGAAAGAAGCACCTGCATAGCCACAGGTGGGCAGAGGACGGCTGTGGAAAGCTCACTGTCAAAGGAGCACACCAGGTGCGTGTGGCTCTGGAAAGAGCTCTCGCGTGGACAGTTGGGCGCTGCTGGCCACTGACCAGTCCCCTGGCTGGCTCCGTGTTGGGATACAGCCTGGTCAGTCTGTTATTCTGGCTCGTCAAGGTTTGAGGTTGGATCGGTTGTTCCTTTTAATTTTTATTCTTTCAATGATGCAGTAATGACACACTGATGAGACCTCTCAGGGGTAAGTTGAAAATCCTCGTGTTGATTTGACATTAGAGATTATTTCCAATAAATGCAAATCGGCACAAAATCAACCCGGATCCTTCCGCCGTTAGACGGAAGCCCGGGTGCTACAGGGGAAGCTGGGAAGAGGCTCTTTCCTCCGCAGGAGCCCCTGGGTCACCCTACGCCCCAGTACCTGCTGTGCGCGAACCCCGGGAGGCATCATCAGCTTTGATGGCATTTAGAAGCGGTCCCCTCCCACACGGGCACACCGGGCACACCGTTCTCATGCTCCATAGCTGATGAAAAGCGGTGTTGAGTTCGCTGCGGCGCCTTGCTGGAGGCCTGCGGGCCCTGCGGACCCCACTTTGCCTCCGACCCCCCCACCCCCAACCGGGACGGAGGCTGCAGGGACAGGCCCAGCTCACGCTCCTCCAGCTCCTGAGAGGAAGCTTGCGCTTCCGACCCGCCCTGGAGAAACTGCCCTTGAGTTTTCGCCCCAGAAAAGCCGCCTCCCCGCGTGATGTCTTCACACTCACGGACGCGGCCTCCAGCCCGCGCGGCCCCGCGGGACGCTCACAACCCTCCCAGGCCCCCAGTGTCGGCGTCGGTGGCCTGCCTGTCCACTCCGTCCTGACTCCCTCGTCCCCTCCCCACGTCCTTCCCTCTCCACTCCGCTTGTCTGTGTCCATCATCCCTCCTCTCCTTCTGTCCCGTCCTCCCTCAGACCCGCTTATTAAGGTTCGCTGGTTTTTGCGAATATTGGCCTCGGTCAGCCGGTCAGCTGTACAAACGCCTAGCATGTGTCTTTGTCGTTCTGGCTCGCTTGACCGCACGCCATCCGCTCAGACCCCTCCACGCTGCTGCGGGTGGCCGCCAGCCGCGTTCCTGCTGCACGAATCGTGGCCACAGCGACGGCCCACGTCTCCCGATCCCGGCCTCCCACCTGTAGAGCCCTGTAGAGCGAGTAGATCTTTGGCTAGATGCCGGGGAGTGGGGTGCTGGGCCTTGTGGCATTTCCGTTTTTAGTTTTCTAAGGACAAACCGGATCGCCTTCCGCAGCAGGCTGTGTCATCAGCCCACCTCTCCTCGTGCCTTTCAAAAAGTGTGCGCTGCCATGTGGCTCCCGGATTCCTGAACACTGACCCTGTCCCCTTAGAGGAAGGAAAACTATAAAAGCAGTTGACTGGGAAATTCCCGACGTGCCAAAGACTGGTCCGGGGGAGAAGGAACCTCCCTCTGAGCCGGGTCTGTCTGTTCTCCTTCCAGATTTTTTGGGCAGGACGGAGATCCGCGTGGCCGACATCAAGAAGGACCAGGGATCCAAGGGCCCGGTGACCAAGTGTCTCCTGCTGCACGAGGTCCCCACGGGAGAGATTGTGGTCCGCTTGGACCTGCAGTTGTTTGATGAGCCCTAGGGGGCCCGAGGCGCTCGGCCATCCCAGCGCGGCCAGAGCTGTCTGGAAGCACAGTCGCTCATCTGCCATCAGGACGTGGTATCTGGCCACAGGGCGACTGGCCAGCTCAGACAGGCCTCTCAGAGCTCCTAGGAATCACTCTGACAATCCACCCTGCACCCTGACAACTTCCCACTTTCAGAGACAAAGCTGTGTTTTCCCTCGCTGGTCTCCTCTCGGCTCTAGGCTTCCGCGGGGAGCCTGACCCAGCCCAGGGCTGGAGACGTGGGTCTGGTCACTGTACAATAGACTTATGAATGCGACGTCTGTGTTTCTGGGCTCTCACGTCACCCTCCTAGTTCTTACCTCTCCCAGCGCCCAGGCCAGCCCCTTGTCCTTCGTGTGGACACGGGTGGCGATCCCGTCGTTGCTTCAGAATCTCACCCCCTGCCAGGGCCTCATGGGACCTGCCACCCGTGCGAATCCCTGTGGGAGTGGCCTCCGGATCAGGCCCTGGGCTAGCTCCTCCGGGGGCTGGTCTGTGGAAGATTCCAGCAGGTGTTTCGTAAGAACCATTCCAGTCCCTTCGAGGTCTCTTGTTGATAGATGTCAATGGAAGCAATCACTTACTACTCTCGGGCCATGAGTCAGGACTCCCAGCATGCCGGGAGGTGGGGGGAGAGCCTGATAGCCACGTGGGTCCCCAAAAGGCTACTTCATCAGGGGGCTGGGTTCTGGTGGCCAGCCCAGTTGGAAAATCCTCTGGTCTGGGTTTCTGCGCTGTTTATGGTGGGCAGCCAGCTCTGAGCCTGTTCTCAATTGAGTGAGCCTGGCTCGAGCGAGGTTCCTGAGTGCCCCAGGAAGTTTTGGGGGCCGTCTTTGGTACTATCCTCCCCTCCACAAAGAATCCCCAAGGTGTGAAAAATAAAAGTGACAATCCGGGTGGGTGGAAAGGTGTGAAGGAAATCTATCACGGGGTCAGGAGAAGACCCCGGGAGCAGGACCTGAGACTCTTTCCCCTGCCCCCGCCCCCCATACACAAGCTACCTGTCAGTCAGGGCCACAAGTGCTGCTGTCCAGGGTCGGGGTCACGCCACGTGCCAAGCTGGTTGGTTTGAGTTCTTTGATTTTTTCCCCCTTAAATGCTAGGAGATAGGCTGGTCACGTAGACACTAACCTGACTTGCTAATGAAAAGTGTGAGTTGTCTTTCGTTTGCATGCTGGTGTTCTCTTAATTCCAGGCTGCTGTGGCCACAAGAAGTCCTTTGCATGTTCCCGGTAGCGGAGTTTAGCCTCTGGGTTAAGCCTCTCACCGTAGGTCCTTAGACGTAGACGTAGCCTCAACACCGAGGAACCGCCCAGGAGGAAGCTGACCACAGACATGTGCGTCCGCCGAGCTCACTCCTGCTGCAGGCAGCTAGGCAGCTTTTAAAATGTGTGTGTGCGCGCGTGTGTGTGCATTGGAAAGGACCAAAAGTTTACATTTCATACTTTTAAGAAACACCTTATTATTTATTTATTGACGATAGCGTAGAATTTTGTATCGAGAACAGACATAAGTATTTTTTGAAACAAACAGATATATCCTTTAGTTAGAAACTTCCCTCTCGACTGTCTAGGCCAAGCTGAACTTCAGCCGTGTAGCTGTTTACCCCTAGCGAGCAGAAAACCTGGTGAAAATACTTTCAGTTTGTGTATCTTTTTGATGTCGTGAAGATCCTTTTAAACAAAATCTGCAAGTAGGCGCCAACCCCCACCCACCCCCGCTTCTAGCCCCAGCAGCCTGTGTGGGAGTTTATAACGGCCGTGCCATCCCTGGGGGACAGTAAGTCCCAAACGCGTGGACGGGAGGTACCGGGCTCACAGTCCGGTCTGTCTCATGCCCCCTTTTCTTCTTCTGTAACTGTCGGATGTCACTGCTCAACGGCGCCCTGATGAACATCTCATAGTCCTCTTGTGCCTGGCACCCACGTCGCCCGTAGAAACCCACTATGGGAGCCAATGTACCCGCATAAGCGACGTGAGTCTTTTTTGCCCAAGGGACCATCCCGAGCATCTCAGGGAGCCTCCTCCAGGGTGGCGAATCTAGACCAATGTCCTTGACCCTCCCGTGTCGTTTCTAATGTGACCAGTGGCACTGAGGGGTGAGTTAGGGCGGCCCTGGGGAGGGTGAGCTATGACCCAGGGCCCTGACGGGGGACATAGGCATGTGGGGGATGCGTGGGGCACTTGCTCTGACCACTGTTCCTTCAGGTCTACCTTCGGGCACCAGTTCCCGAGGGCAATGCCCCGGCCAGGCAGCTCTCTGCTGCTCAGCTCTTGGTCTTCTCAGCCTGGGTCTCTCTGGCCGCTGCACCTGCATTCTGATACAGCCTCAGATGCCCTCTCCCGGCCCCACTGCACCTCGTCCCGCCCCTTGAGGGTCTGTCCTGCCCCCTGGCAGCTCCCTGAGGACAGGCACCCCTGGGGCTGCCCTTCCTAGACCAGCTCTCCTGACCTGGGTCCTTACGCACCCCTCCCCTACCCTGCTGTCGCCTCCCTGGAGGCAGGTAGAGCCTTGTCTCTGTGTCACACCAGGAGTGCTGTGCCTGTAGGTGGCTTGTTCACACCCAGGCTGGCTTGCCTCGGGAAGAGGGACCTTCTAGGCCGAAGTCACCGGGGACCTGAGAAACCAGGTCTTTGAATGACAAGTCCCGATGGATCCACTGATGGAGAGGTAGCGCTCCCAGAAAGCCTTTCTCTTCTTGATTCTTTGAACAGCCTAAGCATGACCCAGGTGTAGAAAATTATGGGTTCCATCTGGTTGAAATAGCACCAGGTGGAAAAAACTCCATCAGAAAATGAGCAAAGTAGCCACTGGTATTGTCCATGTTGATGAGCTGGGATCCGAGCTGCGGGGTCCTCTGGGGTGGAAGCCGGTGGGGGCACTTCATGCTGAAGCACCAGGGCTGGGCAACAGCTCACCTGCCCTCCGAGCTGGCCAGGCACTGTCTCTCTGGGGTAGCGCTAGTGCAGCTTAAAGCCATTGGCTTCATGGAGCAGAACATTCTAGAATCCCATCGGGAGTGGAGAATGGAGGAGGTGCTTCTTTTTTGGTGAGAACATTGGAGATCTTGGGGTATACGTCAGAGTTTGCCAATACTTGACGTGCAGAGAAAAAGATTTCACACTGCTTCAAATAGCTTTTTTCTAATGACCGGGCCTTTTGGATTCATGGAAAGAAAATTAGGATTGTGACTGGAAAACTTTAAGAAGTTCCTTTGGAGACAGCACGTTGGACTTGCTTTCTATTATTTCATGCTGTTATCTTATACCCCTTCTCCGAGGGGCTTGGCGCTGAGCTCTGCAGAGGACGTAAATGCTTTGGAATGGGCCTCGGCTGCTTGGAGGTAGCGGGTCATCTCAGACCTGCGGTTAGTGTGAGGCCAGCGATGGCTCCCGGCGCACCTGCTTCACCTGTTTACACCACCGTGTGCCAGAAAGTGAGGTGCTGAACACCTACGAGCCGGGAGTTCGTGTGGCTGAGCTCCTGCCACACAGGCGTGTCCGTGACCAAAGACCAGGGACGAGGCGAACCCTCCTGTGCCCTGAGCTGCCCCGGGCGGCGCTGGGCAAAACCCTAAAACTAACACCTGTTTGCATCAGGGTGGCTGAAAGCCGACCAGGTGCTTCTCCTTGCTGCAGGTCATGGCCCAGGTCAGCTGTCAAGGCTCACCTGGCCCTGCCCTGAGCCCTCTCTCGTGGGAGCTGCTTCGTATTGTGTAGACATAGCTGGAGGGGCACTGTATTTGGAACTTGTCATTCATGCCAGCTGAAAGGAAAGAAAGTTCTAGAACTCCTGTTTCCATACCCTGCATGGTGTCAGACCCAGCGCGTGTTTGCTGGTCATCAGGCTCCGCTAAGGTACGTAACCTGCTCCGACCCAGGGCCAGCACTTCGGGCCGTCCCAGCAGTCCCTCAGCAGGAATGGGTCGCTCATTCAGGGACCCCCATCAGGTCAGGGGGCCCGTGGGGGCTGCCCCTGCGGCCTTCCTGGCCCAATTGTAGATGATTTAATAACACCTGCTGCTTGTAAACACTCATCTCCACCCCCGAACAATTAGCTCAGTCACGCCAGGTCCAGTCAGTTCCATTAAAAGGAGCCCTCTGACTGCCCTTGGGAGCCCACCACACCCATACAACAGTCTCGTTCCCCAGTGATACGCGGCTGTCATGTGTCAGGGAAAAATTGCCCCCACGGTGTGTCAGGGTGTTTTGTGAGTCGCGTTTTAATAGGACTGTCCTGAGTCCACCAGCCTTTCGTGTTGAGATCGTCTGAATAAAACTGTTGAGGAGGGGCTTACTTGGTCAGCCTTGAGAGAATTAAGTGCTTCTCTAAATTCTCTGAGAATCCACCAGTGATTAGGGTTTCTTTTGATGCTTGGTAGGAATGCATTTTTTTTCTTCCAGAAACCTTGGTTTTGTACATTTTTCTTTTAAAACAATAACATTCCTGTGTGACTGTGTTCCTAAAACTATGCCCGGTGCATTTCTCCTCTTCTACGCAAATCCCTTATTTCCTCCAGTCTGTGTCTGTAAAGACAGGGGTGGAGGGCAAGGAGCGCGCTGGAAGCAGGGGCGAGGCGGGGCGGCTCTTCAGGCCCCAGAGCGGCGGTCACTGCCTCTTACCCGCCGTCTCCGCCAGGGGGCGATGCTGTGCCCTGGCGGATCCCGGCCGCAGGTTCCACCCAACTCAGCTGGGACGGCGAGTCTCCCCCGCCCCCTGCAAGTGGGCTGAGACCCGGCAGGCGGGGGTGGGGTGGGGTGCGGTGGGGTGGGGTGGGGGAGCCTAGGAAGCTAGGGGAAGGCGAGAACGGGGGCACCTAGTGGCACGTTGCCTTTCCTTGTTGCTGGGCTTGGGGCTGGACTGGGGTCCCCAACCTGCACCCCCTCCTCCCCTGGGGGTTCAGCGACCTCCGTGGAAGTGAGGTCTCCCCCCTGCTGCGTGCACTTTGGGCCAGGCTGGCAGGAGGGCTGTAAACAGACATCAGGGTGCGTGGGAGTGGGGTGTTGAGTGTGCTGGGAGACTTAGACTTCTGGCATTTCCAGGGTGAAGAGCCTGGGGTTCAGTGTGTGTGGGGTGTCATGCTGGTCTGGGTGTGTTATGTGCATGCCTGTGCGTTGTGTTAGTGTTTGTGCGGTTAGCGTAGAAGGCTTGTGTGTGAGAATGTGTGTGCCGTGTTAGTGTGTGTTTGCTTACGCACCAGGGGAATGAGCCCCGTGTGGTCTGAACATGGAAACGGGGGGCCTGGTTCCGAGTCACACTCAGGGCCTGCTACAAATTGAAAATTCGAAGCTCCTTGTACAAAATTACCGAGAATTTCGAGGTGGTGCCGGCAGAGGCAAACCCAGACCGGCCCTTCCCAGTCAGGGTCCCCTGTGAGGGCAGAGGGGACACCTCTGTTTTCAGTGGGCTCTGGAGCGGGTGGCTTCACCGGCCTCTGCCTGGGTGGGGGCCGTGCGCCCCGGGGGGGGGGGGGTCGTGAGAGGGGGCGGGCATGTTTCAAAGCTCCTGCTTTTATCTGCAAAAGCACAAAGGGCCTGCACTGGTGAGCAGAAGGGGCGGGCTGAGCGCCCTGGAGGGTGTGGGCGGGGGAGGGGCTGCCTGCCCTGTGGGCCTCCAGCCCAGAGGCCCTGGACACTTTGCACTAACCCCACTGGGTGGTAGTGGCCGTCGGGCGCCTGCGTGGGTCTTCCCTACCCTGGGAAGACAGGAGGTTTTTCCAGCCTCCACCTGCACGTGACCATCAGGTAGCAGGGGCGGGATGGGGGTGGGTGGGGGAAGGGCAGCGCCCCACAGGGCCTGGAGTCTGCTTCCTGCCTGCCCAGGGGGCTGGGCTAGGGAGCGGCCTACCGGCCTGCTGGGCCAAGTGTTGGGGTATCTGCATGCCCCTGAGAATAGTAACTTCCCAGTGGGGCCCCGGACCCCACCTAGGGCCCTAAGGTAGGACGGGTGATGTTAGGGGAGAGAAACGGGACCTCAGAGGCGCAGCCCGACCCCTGCCCTGCCTGGCTGCTTTCTGCCACTGGGCAGGGGCAGGAAGCCCCCAGACCTTTGCCCTTTACCCTCGCCTCCCGACCTGCTGGAGGCCGCAGGTGCTTTCTGGGCCTCTGCAAGAACGTGCCGCACTTCATGGATGGTGTTTTGAGAGCACCGCGCCAGCCACCTCCTAACACACCATCTGCTAAGCAGTCAGTGTCAGCAGCGGCCCTTCTGGGGAGAGCGTGGCTATTTGTGGGCGCTGAAAACACACGTGGCCACAGCTCAAGGGGCTTCTAACCAACCTCGGATCTCGGCCCTGGAGGTCTCCCCCTTCTGCTGCCGCTCACACCCGGCCGGCCCTGGGCTGATTCTGGGCTGTGCTGCCTCTCCGCTGGTCCGAGGCGTGTGTCCATGTTCCCGGGTGAGAAATCTGCAGCAAAAATGCCCTACGCGTGACCAACAGCTTCCGGCTTCCGCTTTCTGCATTTTAGATGGCCCCCAGCTAAGAAAAATGCAGAAATCCACGACGTAAGTGAGACCTGAGCTCTGAGGGCTCGTGGCGGGCTCTGGGCTGCTTGTTCCTGAGGGTGTGTGAGACTGCCTGTGGTCTCTGTGAAGCTGTGCTGTTAACTGTGGCATTAACTAACACAGAGCCTGTAGTCAAACATATTTAACTTGTTATTGTAAAATGTGATTTGTCATTGAGAGATTATTTTTCTGTATGTATATGAGACTATTTTAGGAATCTAATTTAAGTGCATAAAACTATAGAAAAAATTAAAAACCTATTCTAGGAGTAGACAATGCTTGATCAGATTATTTGGGTTCAACCCAACTAAATTTCTTTATACATATATACATATATATAAAACTCCGAGTTGCATATGTCAGCAATTCAAAGGAGTTACTCTCCCGTCCCCTGCTGCCCCCTCCCCGGGGAATGTGAATTTAAACGAAAAGAGAGGTGGTGGGATAAGATGAAAGGTACCCGGTAGCCAGACCCCTGGACGAGACGCGGCATTTCATCCAACACTGATCCAAACAGGAGACGTATTCCGGGGGGCTGTGCCGGGAAGGGCCGGAGGGCTGAGGGGCTGACGCCATGTTGCTCGTCAGATCCGGTGCCACCCAAGTGTCCGGGAGTCCGGTGGCGGGTCAGAGGTCTGGGGCTGACCCAGCCTTTCCACAGTGGGGGGGAGGCCCCGACTCGTGGGTCATCCCGTGCAGTTCTGGCGCTGGAGAGAGCCTGGGCAGCCCTCTGGAGTCTGCATTTTCAACGAGATTTTCTGGGGGCATCTTCAGTACTTCCACCGAGGTACTGCTGGGGAGTGGGGGCCGAAGGATGGTGTTGTAGTTTCCGGGGGAGCTCCCTATGTACGTAGCAGGCCGTCCGGAGACCTCCTGACGCCTGCGTCCCCAATGCGCCACGGTGGGCAGGAGACCACCTCTCGCTCCCCAGGAAGCCCAGGCTGCTTCTGGGGTACAGTCCCCCAAGCCCTTGGAGGCTACATAGGGGTGGGGGTGGCACACAACACCCCATGAAACTCAATGTTTAAACCCCAAGAGTCCTGCCTCCCGGGCAGGCTGGAAATAAGGCAACAGAGAAAAGAGCCAGCCCCCGGAGAGACGGGCCTGGCTGGGGGTGGCCTTGGGAGCGCGTGGGGCTGCCGAGGGTCGCGGCTGGAGAGGACACGCAGGAGGGGGAGCGTTAGGTTTGCAGGCACCATGTGCTTCTAGATGCTGCCGAAGCCCCTTGATGACGGCCTTGCAATTGGCTGGTGCTGAACTCCCAGGGGGAGCTATGATTTCTAGAAACCTCCCTGGATCATGGGATCTGCAAATGGCGCCAAGGAACTGTCCGCCTGGACGGTAACTCAGGCTGTTCCTCAAGCGGGGGTGATGCTTCCTCCCGAGCCCCACGTCCTCTTGCCTGGGGTGGCCTGAGCGCTGTGGGTGGGGACGTTCGTCAGCCCACTGCTCCCTGGGCCCTGGTTGTTCTAAGAAAGGCTGGGGACGAGTCACCCAGCCCAGCGCCCTGCTGCAGCTCTGCTACTCCAGACAGCCTTCGCCTGCCTGGAGAAGAACGTGAGCCCTAACCGGGGCCCCTGGGGTCGTGAGAAATGGCCACAGCTGGTGGCAGGCTGCCCCCAGCCCCGCCCAGGACGTCCTGTTGTCTGTAACATACTTCTGTTGCCAAATAATGGTATTGTTTAATTTTCCATAAAGGGGAGGCTATACTGTCTGATACGTAATGTCAGTGCAGCTCCGAAAACGACTATACACTGCTATAAATTGTAGAATTCTGTATCTGTCGAAAGTTTAATAAGGCAGGGCCGAAATGTTCCTTTTCTTGTTTAAAAGAAACTGAGGTTAGTTTTGTCGTTTGAGTCTTCCTTTGCACCTATTATGTGTGAAATGTCAGATTTTACCGATTCGGAGGATGGTAACTGAGGTCTTTTTTTTTTTGGTTTTGTTTTTCTTTTTAAACCAGTAGCAACGGCAGTACAAATTGCTACTCCTGTGTATCTGGAACCTAAAAAGAACAATCTGTTCAGAACAGCTCTTTGGTCATTTCGACCTGTACGGTTTAAATCCACGTCGCTCATGAATAAAATGAGAAAAGCCATCCGTGTCCGTGGGGTCCTGTCGCGGGCTCCCGCCCCGCCCCTTCTGCCTGATAGCGGCTCTTCCTGTGCGTCTCCTTCATGCACGATGAGGCTGAGTTGTGGAAGGAAAACTGCAACCTCTCAGCCGTCGCAGGCTTCTCAGACAGGGAGGGTTTAGAAGCCCATTTTCCTGAAGCAAGCTCTGAGAATCTGAGTGTATTGTTAGGAGGCCCAGCGGTGAGGTAAGAGCAAAGACCTCTGGAGGGCTCCCTGCCTTGCTCCACGAAGCCCCCACGTGTAACTTGCCTTTTAACTCTGGGTGCCGCTGGCAAGCCCGACCCTATGTGTCACTGAATAATTTATAGCAATTTTCTTCTGTTCTTGCTCTCAGGGCTCCCGCTGCCCCTCCTCTGCCCTGGTCCCTCACCCCCATCTCATCAGTTTTCTCTGAACAAGTCCTTTAAATTCTCTGGTTGACCTTGAAGCAGTTAAATTGTGTGGGCACATTAAAAAAACGGCCCAGAGCATGCATCTTCGCTGTCAGCTGGTCGACTCCACTTTTGGGGACCTTCGAAGTCTTCCTTCCTTTTCTTGGTTGTTTCTGAAGTCTTCAAAACAAAGGCCATCAAAAACAAAGAAAACACAAACCCCCCTCCCCAGAAGACATCTGCTCCAGGATGACAGGGTCGCCCGTCCACAGCTCGGGGAGGGTGCCGGCAGGCAGCAGGTTCCCAGCCCTCAGCAGTTTCTTTCCCACCGCTGTTTCTCCCCTCAGTGCACAGGACATTCAGCCACGCTTCGATGTCCAGCGTTCTGTGCATCTTGTGCGAGGTGTGGACCGAGGCGCTCGTACTCTGGACGGCTGACAGGCTTGGAGCTCGCCCGTGCGCTGGGCCCTGCTCGGTCCATGGTTGGAGACATCACCTCCCGGGTACGTTGGCGATGGTCTTCTAAACCAGGCAACGCATATTCTTCCATCACTTTTAAGGACTGGGCGGTAGTCCAGTCAGTGCCTCCTGGTGTACCCTGATTTATTTAACTGCTCCTAACTACCTGTTTAGGCTGCTTTAAAATTTCCACCTGTTAAGAAACGCTGTGAGGCCTTCCTGCACACACATCTCTGGGCTGCCAGCCTTTCGTCAGCCCTCCCCCACACCCTCACTGGCTTAGCAAGGAGGCCTGTTAGTCTGAGGGGCTGTATGGGAACTAGAGGGCTCCCCCCAAATATTTGGATTTTCTGCAGCCTCACCTTGGAAGCACGTGGTTTATGGGGATTCATAGCCTGTGCGTCCCTGTCCAGGGCAGCGCAGGCCTGACCGCCTTAGGCCAGCAGGAGGGGCCGCGGAGTCTCGGCCATCCTGGAGTTCGGTCAGGCTACAGGCTCAGCTGCTGCTACTTAGAAGCCCAGCACCTCGCGGGCCTCAACGAGTGTGGTTTCTCGCTCACGTCCACTGGCCCATCGGCGCAGGGGTCCGAGGGCAGCTGGTGGCTCCCGTTACCTCACCTGGCTTTCCGCTGGGGTGCGGCTGCTCGCCCTGCCTCGCCGTCTTGCTGAACGGCAGCGGGGCCTTGTGAGGCCAGGCCAGGAAGCCCCTGCGCGGCCCACCCCTCCACCTGCAGGCCCCCAGCCCAGGCCAGCCGCTGCCAGGCGGGTGGGTACACACCCTGCTGGGGAGCCCTGTATGCACTGGGGTGGAGACGCAGCCTGGCGGACCATCTCCTGGAAAAGGTCCCCAGTGGTGCCTCTGCCAGTCCCCGTGTTAGGGGGTTGCCCAGCCGGCATGGCCAAGTGCTGAAGGCAGCCCAGTCTGCACCCCACTTGTGGAGTTTTCTAGCTGGAGGCCTGTAGTGAGTGCTTTGTTACCTCACGTCTGCTCTGAAGTGGGCACCATAGTTCCACTTACAGCCTGAGGCTAGGCTGCCTTGCAGGCTGGAGTGGTGGGCTAGGGGTGCACCCTGACCCCCACCTGCTGGATCCCAGCTTCCCTATCCCGCCACTGGGTGGTGAGAGACAGAGGGCGCAAGTCTGGCCCGGCTGCTCAGGGCCCCTGGAGCCACGCTCTTCCCTATGGCGTTTTCTGGCAGTGTGGACAGTGAATGGGGGGTGGCTGCCCTGTTTACATTTGTTGAATGACCTCTGCAGGGTGGCGCTTCTGCTCCCCCAGGCCCCTCCCCAAGAGGTTCCAGTCCTCTGGCCCCGCCCACCGCCTTGGGGCAGTGGCCCACCTGTCCCAGGTAGGTGTGAGGATCTTTCTGGAGCTTTAGGCTCATTATCAGAGAAGCAAAAAGGCTGCCCTCCTCTGGGTGTGGCTCCAGCCCATGCTGCGCCAAGGTTGGCTGGAAAAGGCGGGGTGCGGGGTGCTGAGGGCACTTTGTCAGGAATCACTGCTTCTAGTGGGGAAGAACACTGGCCTGGCTGAAGCTGGGGGCCTGGGTCCCCAGGGGTAGCCCGGGGGTGTGACAGCAAGCCGGGGCGTCTGGCTACCTCCTCTTCTGAGTGCAGCTCCCTCCGGGACCCTTCTCCAGCTGGGGCGGGATGATGCTTGTCAGCATCATCTGCTTCCAGATTTTCCAGATAGCTGAACAGACTTTCTGGCCAGACCTCCTGGAGAAAGCCTCCAGCGGGTAATCTGGAGAGCAGGCCCAAAAGCATCGCTTTGGCCGGAGGAGGACGTGCTGGAGGACGGGCAGTAGCGCTGTGAGCAGACCCGAGCACCTGGCCACACCTGCTCTTAGGGGCACGCACGGGCAGACCAGAATTCTGGAGGCTTCGGTACCTCTAGCAGGCCTTCTGCTTTACCCGGAATTGGACTCACAGGCCAGCAGGCAGGGAGGCAGCGCTGAGCCCCCGGCCTTCTCCCCTCCTCTGCACAGGAGCCTGTACCCACAAGTGCGCTGCCCCCCACCCCGGTCACGGGGCTCAGGCCGGGGGTGCCCGAACGACCCCATCTTCCCACAGGCAGCGGCAGCTGGAAGGCCGGGTTTCTGGGCACCTGAACGCCATGGTGGGGCCTCCCCAGGGAAATGAGGTCAGACACGGGAAGCCCGTGAACTGTCCTCCTGATGGACACAGCTGCCAGATCGCAGCACCATCTACACAAACACACGCACTTTGCTTTTTGACCTTTAAGTCATCTTCCAGGAAGATGTAAAAATCAGGCTTCCCGGGTTTCTTCAAGTCAGCAAGCACTGCCGTTCGGGAAGCATTTTATTGTCGCCCTGAGTTCGGAATCCCAGGGCAGAGCGGCCTCACACGGTCTCCCGCATCACCTTGCTCAGCTTCTGGATCTTGGTTTTGGCCGACATGTCGACATACTTCTCTCCAATGCGGACAATCATTCCGCCCATGATGGATGGGTCCGTCTGAGAAAGAAAACAGGTTAAAGGTGAACACAGCCCGGACGCGCCCCCACCTGACGGGGCCGCGGCAGGAGGCGCCCGATCACGTCTCAAGCAGGCAGAAGCGCTGCGGACCGACCGGCAGTTAAAAGGGAAATTCAACAGATTTCGACTGGAGGCAAATTACTACACAGAGACCCTAATTTTTACTTTCCCGGGCCATTTTAAGCGCCAGTTACCCAAGGAGACAGCGTAAGTAATTAAAAAACTGACCTTCACCTCCAACTTCAACACTTGGTTTTTACTCAGGAAGCTCTTCAGGACGGTCTTTAGCTCAGTAAGCGTGGCTTCATCTAAAGGCTGAGAGCAGACAGGATTGCCCTTGACATAAAGCCAAACGGGAGTTTTCCACAGTAAAGAGGAGCAGGGACGCGCCAGCACACCCACGGGCCACCCCGCCTGGCGCCAGCAGCGCTCGAGTCCGGCGAGGCCCTGGCGGTGCGACCCGGCTGTGCCGCCCGTGAGTCGTGGCTGCCTTGGGCGAGGCTGCGGCTTAACCTGGCTCTGGAACCACCGGCTGTGACCGGCCCCCGCGGGCCCCCAGAGCGCCTGGGTAGCCGCTGGCCCTCAGCCACCGCTGTGATGAGCAGGAGCCCCGCCGGGCCGCCACCCCCTCACTGGGTGAGTGGAAAGGTCTTCGATCTGTCCCTGCCGCCCCAACTTCACCTGAGCACCCAAAAGCTAGATCAAACAGTCTTTTGGGGGTGGTGGAGGGGAAGTCAACGAAGCATTATTTGCCAAGACTCCAGGTCAGGAGACCCCCAGGGCCACCATGTCCTGCCCCGCCAGACCTGACTGGGCATCGCACACCTCCAGTTCCCGCCTGGACAGCCCAGGCGGCTGCAGTATTTCTCCTGTTTTGCGGAGGGAACAGCTCAGCGTGGCCAAGCAACTCGGCTGCGGTCCCAGCAGCCAGCGGGGCCGCCCAGGTACTAGAGGTCCGTCTCTTTCTCAAGTCTGTGCCTTTCTCACCAATCAACGGATAATTTGTTAAATAGTGGAAACTAATTTACTCGGGTTCAAAAACAAAAAGAATAAGAAGAACCAAGTCCAAAAAAGGTCAAAAAAACAAAGCCTCCCCGGAAAAAAAAAAAAAAAAACAACCAACCCCAACAAAAAGGAAGAAAAGGCCGCAAGGGCCCGGAACGGGCCCGTTGAACCCGAACCCCGGGCAAACCGGGGCCAACTTCAACCAACCCCGGGCCTTGCCGGGGGGCAGCAACTAAATGTGCAACTACACACCGTGTGCTGCAATGTTTCAGTCGCCTCCTGGGGGCGGTATTTCACACGCACCGTGACGTCAACCTGGCAAGGGGCAGCGGCTGCCAGGCGGCCTGCTTGGCCCCACGGGCGGGCGACAAGGCCCAGACTGCCCGCTGCCCGCCGCTGGGGGCGCCAGAAACGCACATTTCCGGCCGCCAGCAGTGGAATGCGCGCGAGGAACCGGACTCCGAGAGGAACGTGGGTTCAGATGTGCTCTGCCTTTGGGACCTGGAACAAACTACTTAATTTCCTTGGGTTCATTTTCTCACCTGAGCAAAATCCTTCATGCAGATTTTGGTATGAAATAAAGCGCCGGTAAGCGCTGGCTGTGACTGCGGCCCGCCTCGGTCAGTCAGAGGCTAAGGCGCCTGCTCCCTGCTACTGCACAGCTAACGGAAGGTACCCAAACCTATCGGAACGTAAGCCACCGTGTCCCGACCGTCTGGCGAGCTCTACGTCTGACAGCAGTCTCCGTCCTCCTGAACAAGCGCTGGCCCTTCCGAAAAGGAGCCGAGAAGCTGGTGCGAGAAAGACGCTGACCGCCCACGGCCACGTCCCTTCGCCCACTCTTCCGCGTTAGCCTGCTTTCCCCTTGTTTTGCAAAAGGTGACGCGCGGACTGTCAAGGCGGAGGCAGCATTACTCACAGACGCCGTGGTGACTGTGCAGGGGACCTCTCCGCGGTGGACACTCATCATGGTAGAAAAGGCAGAGATGATGGCGGGGGTGTTGTTCAAACGGCCGTTTTCAGCAAGCAAGTCTGGGAAAAGGCAAATTCATTCATGACAGAGTCCACCAGGATCCCCTCGCCTCAAAGCAAACAGGGATACTGGCTCAGAATACTGCCTTCACGGTCCTCTAACTGTGGGCGCGGAAAACTTGCTATTTAAAAAGTGTAGTCATGTTTAAAAAACACCCTGCATGGACCAGCGTCTACATGAGTGCCAGACGCGGCAGCTGTCCTGTCCGCGGCCTGCAACCTCATCTCACATTTATGCCACAACCCCGCTGTCTGCCTGCAAATCCCCACGCAGCATGCACGCTGTAGTTCAGAGATGGTGACACGAAGACAATTTCTCTGTAGCTCACAGCTGGGCTGCCTGGGGGTGCTAATGGGACAGGAAGGCGCCCAGGGACGCTGCTTCCGAAGACAGGCGCGGCCCTTACGCGGCACCAGCCCTGCCCCAGCCGCGGCCTGGCGACGGCCTCCACCGGCACGTCCTGTACACTGTGCGCCGCAGGCGTCAAGGTGCAAGCTGCTCCCAGGGGCTGGTGACGGCGCAGCACGGTTGGGGTGAGCCCTCCGGCGCGCCAGGCCAGCAGGGCTCCGGACAGCGTGGCGCCTGCCCCGGACCACCCTTCCAGAGCAACATTTCCAGAGACTTCAAGGGCAACAGATCTTGTACTCACTGATCAGGTTGGCCGTGAGGGGAGAAAACCTCTCTTTCGCTGTCATGTCATTCAGATTCTTCACTTTAATGGATCGCTTCACGTGGGGGTTCAGAATAGACGCGGCCATCTTGGGCTCCTTCAGAAGTTGCTGCATGCACCAAAAAATACTCTTAAGCTCTCAGAACACAAACGACGCTAGCTGTCATGCGCGCTTCCCACGTGCTTGTGAAGCATGCGGGCCGCGAAGCAAGTCGGCACTCTCAAGGCGCAAATTGTAATCAAATAACTTTCTCTGCCTCGTATGATTTTACACAGAACACAAAATATTTCTTGAAAAATTTTTTATGACTTTATGAAGTTTCTTAAATTTATTTTTGCTCTTTAAGAAAAATTAAAAATGAAGTGGCCAAGAGCTTCATCACTGCCTATTTCAACATATAGCGTATGAGCAACACTCCAGGGCCCCAATCCGAAGAGGATGCAGTGGGTCACTCAGCGCGGAGCTGGGGAGAGCTGTGGCTGCCGGGGGGATGGGGGGGAGGGGGAAGGGGGGCCTCCCCGGAGCCACTCTGGCTCAGGCACGTCCAGATGCTCTGCAGACCCTACCCAACCTGTGAGCCATCGCTGCCATTTCCAGAGCAGCTTAGAGAGCCTGGGAGAGCCAACAAAACCCGAGACCACCAGTGAGACCCCGCGGGCCCCGCTGTCAATCAGCGTCTGGGCCAGACCGGTACAGCTCCAGCTCCCTGTCCCCACGATGGCTGCGTGCCTCGAACCCAGCTGCTGCTCAGGCATCTCCAGGCCTCCGGCGCCCTCTAGTCCTGCCAGCACCTTCCGCAGGCTCCTGCTGGGTTTCTGTCTCCAACTCATGCCCCCAGATGCTGATATTCCCACTGGAGTGGGCATCACGGAAACGTTTTCCCGCAAAAAAGGCAGGTCTAGACAAATCAAAAACGTTCTGGAAGGTGAGTTCTCGGTTTCTTGTCTGTCGGTGATACATCAGCCAGGGCAGTTAGCAGTGCACTCTCGTGCTAAGAAGTAGCTAGTTTTTCTGTAAGTGAACCTTCCCGGTCTCCACACCCTCACCGGTCTGCAGGCCTCAAACCCCATCTAATGTCCACAACCGGGCCGTCCTGCCGCTGTGGGCACCACTGTCCAGGCTGAAAGTGGGCAGAAGCAAAAGCAAAGGGCACCGACTCACCCCCGAAGGCCCAGGACCCTGCTGGCTCGGCCACCCTGCGCCCATCAGCCTCTGTCAGTGAGGCTGGGCCTCCCACTGTGCAAGAACAGGACGGAGACACAGGCGCTCTCTGCAGAGGCCGCTGGACAGAGGGAAGAACATCAAGCTAACTGGACGGACAAAGGTTCTAATAAAAGCTCAAAAAATGAGCCATGTAAGTGTGAGGCTAGAAACTAGCCTGTGAGGGCCCCTGCCCCTACCAAAGGGAACATCAGAAACAAATCCTCAGAAACACGTAGATTAAGAAATACAAGAAGTTTTAAAGCACAAAACCAAAAGAGCACAGCTTTCTCTGGACGGAGCAGCCGCTGGCCGTGTCCCTCTCTCTCCACACGTAACTCACTGCCAGGCTGGCCGTGTGGACGTAAAGGGGAGGAATGAAATGAGGAACACTGGACCCTAAAACTCAGCGAAAACTTCGGGGGGTGCCTCTGAAGGCGGCGTGGTGGGATGGGAGTTCCGCTTATTTACTCTTCCTGTAAAAAAACATGGCACAAACTCTGCCCTCTGGCCTCGGTCGCGTGTCCATCATCTCTCAAGCTCATGCATGTGGCTCCTTAGCTCTGCCCCCCGCCCACCCCCACCTCAGGGATGAAATAAAACCAAGGACAGGCTGCAGAGGGAGAGCAAATCTGAGTGAGACAGAACCACGTATATAGTGAGGACTATCATGGAAATACTTGGCACACACAAGCCAGTTTCCAAAGGTGACCTTCTGATTCTCTTGTGAAATTCAGTTTTTCTTAAATTTCTGTATTTGAACTTCACATTTCCATTTCTTCTTTTAGCCCGAATTCCTGGTCTCTAATATTAATATCTTTATAGGTGTCCACTGATATCTGTTGTGTCATAGGTTTAGAATAATAATACCCAATGCTGTTAATCAATACCACCACAGACATGGATATACCTGCTAAAGGAGAAAAGTGTCACAGGAACTTCACATGTAATGAAGAAGGAAGCTACTTACAGCCACTCTCAGTAACTCCTTTTCTACCTGCTCCAGCTTATTCTGTTTAGATGCAGCAGAATAAAGGGCCGTGGCATAGCGACCTTCGACACCATACACCTGAACAGGTGGCTTTAAAGAAAAAGTGGGGTTACAGGGAGGAAAAACAAAATATTACATCGTCAATAGCAGAATTAAATATTTATAATTAAAATATTAAGATATGTAATATACCTTTATGCATAGAAGTTTAAATAAATATGGCAACAGGGAGTTGTCTTAAATGTCATCTGGAACAAAGTATGGATGTTTCCTTGGTCAATCCCTCAATCTTGTAAGTTCCAATTCCTCCCCTTACAATGAGGAGCTTAGGAAACATGGATGGTGTCCAAAGTCCCTTCCAGCTCTTACTCCCCATATGTCAATTATGTTAACACTGAGATGAGTTACTGCTTCCTTCAAACTCTCTGGATTCCCAGTACAGCAGGTGTGAAGACTGACAGAAAGCAGTTTTGAACAGTCAGAGCCAGGAAAAAAGTGCTTATAAAATATACTCAGGTGTACTTTTATACACTTCATAGCAACACTGTAAGTTCCCTCCACTCAGCACAATAACACTCAGTTAGTGGACTCCTTCGGCATCTTACTGAACGCCTGGTGCTTGACTTATTTCTTAAATGGTTTTTCCCTGCTCTCTGTCATCAAGGTAGATGCTGGGTGGTGCCATATGGTCATTGTGGAAAAGTTTAGTCTCCGAATATGAATGATTTAGCTTTAATTCACTTCTAAGGTCAAGCTGGGTAACCCAGTCTCAGTTCCCTTTTTTTGTAAAATGGGAAGACCAGCTATTTCCCACCTCTACTTTGGTAAGGAATTCTCACTTTTGTTTTTGTTCTGCCACTTTTTTTTTTTTAATATAATAGTTTATTTTTACATCATTTTGTGTCTTTTCCCATCTCAGTTATAATCCCTGTGGGCTTCCCATCACCACATCACCCATGTGTCATCACCATAGTCCAGTACACTCTCCCCACCCCAATTTTTGATCCCATTCCCCATTCCACCCCCGTAAAATGTCTCTGGTATATAGTTGTTCATTATTATTGTTTTTTTCACCCCAGTCCTTTATACTCCTGCTATGAGTGAAACCATCTGGTATGCTTCTGGCTTATTTCACTCAGCATAATCCCTTCCAGCTCCATCCATGTTGCGTAAAAGGCACGTGTTTTCTTTTTTGACGGCTGAATATAAGGATTCCTCACTTTCAAGATAATGCACAGGCCTGTCATGCAGCAGGTGTTCAGTACTATTTGGTTCCCTCTCCTCACTCACTCCTTAAGCTCAGAGAACCAAAACTGTGCAGCCTCAGACAGTAACCATGCGAAAGTCCACGTCGGGGGCACCGCTCCTTGACTCACACACTTTCATCTGCTTTACAATGCCCAAAGAATGCAAAGTAACATACCCTCACAAGCTTGGAGAACGGCCTGACCACAGAGGTACTGAAGTTTCGCACCTTTAAAACAAGAAAAGCAAGTAGATGAAGTGATATTACTGGGTGGATTTCTGCATTTAAGTCATCAACAAAAAAATTTCAATACAATTTATAGATGACTAGTTGTTTCTTTGTATCACCACTCAGATTTCTAAGGGTGAGGTGATCTACAGACACTACCTAGGAGTACATCTCTCCACTGAGAACCATCCAAAGTTACTTGGGAAACTGCTTTCCCGCTAGCATGCTAGGAATGGGCCGAGACTAGCACACCCACTGGCACAACAGAGAAGCACTTCATGAAAAACGTTCAAAACGATTAACAAGACTTTTGGCATTTATATCATTGCCCTTGGGTAAAAAGTGGGAAGATTCCAGTCAAGGAGGGTTACAAGAGATGAACCTTGGAATCCAAATACTGTGTGGAAGTGAAGATGAACCTTTTAAGTACTGCAGCAGTTCTCAGAGGTGGTGTTTTGTCTATCGAGAGGCAAAGTTGGAATCCGTGGTTTAAAAAGCACCTGCAAGGGCACAGGTCACCTTCCCGTAACTCCAGCTCTGGTTCATAGGCTACTGGACCTAGCTGTGAAGGCTGAAAGGCTTTAACACTTATGGCAAATTAAGTAAGCCCGAAGGGGGTCATGACACCGAGGCATGGTGCTGGCTACCAGCGCACCGATTGGCCTTCCAACTCTGTCTCCTGTGTGAGTCTGTGGGTTCGGATCCCAGCTCTCCCTCCCTCTGGCTGAGCAGCCAAGGCCCAGTCATTTAAACTTTCTGTCTCATTGGCCTTAGAGACTTGCGCTTTACAAATATTTCTCAGCACGACTAATGACCCCCTGACAGGTTGGACCACAAGGGAGGAAGAAAAAAAAAAAACGATCGGGGTGAACCGTGTTTTTTCCTCGGAGTCATGGGAAGCCCCATCCCCTCTCCTGTACCCCTTAAACCCGGCGCCTCCCGGGGCTGTGCTGGGAGGACACCAAGGCCAGGCACCCGCGGCCCCGACCCACCGCCCCGCCAGTGCCCAGAAAGGGAAAGCGGGGCTGTCCGAGCTTCCTGCATCGATCGCCCCCGCCCTCTGGGCCCCACGGCCTTGAACGCGCTGGCCACAGGTGTGGCCTCGCGCCCTGGTGCTAGGGGCACCCCTCATACGGATCCTCCCTTTGGCTCTCAGGACCTCCGTAGTCTCACCTGCCGGGAGAGCCCGGACACTGCTGGGGCAGCCATCTTCTCCCGGGCGGCTGTAGGTCAAACCGGAGTTGGAAGCGCGAGAAACGCGAAAGCGCAGGCGCACGTCAGCGTAACCGCTTCTCCCGCTGGGAAATGTAGGCGCAGATCATCAGGACGCATGCGCAGAGACCTCCCCCAGGCTGGGAGTTGTAGTCCTTAGAAGGCGTGGTACCGGGCGGACTCAAGGGCAGGAGTCCACAGTTGGTGGGGTTAGCGGACTCCGGCCATACCTGAAAAATGAAATTCGGGAGTGATTGACTAAGCGATGGATTTGTTGTCACTAGTTTATCATTTGGATAAACTCCGTGACCTTTGCTGCATTTCACATTCGGCACGAGATTCATTAGGACCTTACCTTTTCTTCCGACCTCGCCTAATGTGTATCAAGCCCAGTGTCTCAAGCTGTTTGCAGGAGCAGACACTACGTGTCCAGTGCTTAGACCATGAGTGGCCCTCTCCACCCTCCCCAGCCCACCCCAACGCTGCCTCATCTCACCTCAGAACACATTTGTGGGCATGAGAGGTTTGGGTGCCTAAGATCTTGATTCTGGGTAGGAAGAGTGATTACCGAGAATCAGACCTACAATAGGAGATTGGGGTTTGAGCAAGGGGGACATGAAAATTGAGAACAGGACGCTCGTCTTAGCCGATTCCTCTACGTTCAGTTTATTTCAATCTGTTTCCCCTATGTGGCTCTTACCCCAATGTTCTTGTTTCCGGGTCCTCTGGTTACAATGGGTTCTGTGGCCAATTCACAAGTTGTTTTTTTCCGGATTTATGAATTCATTAATTTACTCTTTTAGAGTGTAGTTTTCTTCTTATAAAAAACTTGTAAACGTGCAGAAAAGTAGGAGGGGTGTAATTACTTTCGTTGCTACTATGCAGAGGCAGCTGTTGACAATAATTTGGTGAGTTTCTCCCAATAGTTTTTCAAGCAGTAGCCTGAACTGCCTAGGCTTGAATGCCAGTTGGTTCATGACCTTGGCCCAATTATATAACTTGGGTTATATAATTGTGAGTCTATTTCTTATCTACCAAATAGGTGTTACAGTAGAACCTGTATATAGGTTGTTAGGAAAAATAAGGAAGTTAACAGATATATGAAGTACTCAGAACAACTGCTAGACAGAGTAGCACTCAATAATGACAGTTCTTTGTTTTGTGTTTGTGTTTATTAAGAACATAGAATCACAATGTAATAAATGACATTTTAAAGTAATTAAGTTGCAATGGCAGAACATTGTGAAAAAGGATGTTGTTAGATATGGAGTATTAACAAATGCTTACACTAGAATAAAAGCCTATTTCCAAATGATAGAGTTTTATAACCACTTTAATGGCTGCAGAATAAGCCACTGAATGGATATTCTCTAGTTTAATTATTCAATGAACTTTGAACATAGTTCAGGTGACCTCCATCTTCCCCTCGTATTTAAAATAACTGTTCATTACCTGAGCAATTTTAGAGACAAACTTCTCTCCTTCATATTTAGGATAACTTCCGAACAGATTTCAGAACTGACACAACTTGGTAGAGGGTAGGAGCATTTTAAAAGTCTTTGTTTCACAAGGTCATGTTGCTTTTCAAAAGTTTTAAACAATGTACACTTGCTTCACTTCTCTCTACAGCTGTTTTCAGAGTTTTTTTTTTTTTAAGATTTACTTATTTGTGCATACAGAACTGGGGTACAGGCCAGAGGTGCAGGGGCGGTGAGAGGCTTCACCAGGGACAGAGTGAGGAGCAGAACAGGCCAATTGAGGAAGTACACTGCTGAGGGGAGCAGCGGGCGGGTCAGGAGAGGTCTGCTGTGCCCTGTGGGTCACCTCCGGGTGGGGATTGAACTCATGCTGAAGTGGCGTTCTAATGCTGTGCTTTACCCAGCTGCGCTACCAGGGAGGGCCCTCAGAGGCTATTTTAAATAAATCTAAAGGAAGGTAGATCAGGCAACACATTTTGATGAGCACCACCTATTACACGTAGCAGTCAATCCTTCCCTGCTCTTGATTCCTGAGATCTTCGGGAATCTCTGCAGGGAGGCCAGGAGCTCTGTGCAGCAATTTTCCAGCTGTGTGCCTGCCGTGCCTCACGCAAAAATAGAGTTTTTGGAAAGGAAAATTGAATTTTGTCTTGGAGGAAAGGGAAAAGATTTAGCATTTTGCTTTTATAGCACATTACTTCAACACAAGTTCAAATTGTTTTAAAATTAGTTATTTTAACGACTGAATCAAAGGAAGTTGCTCAAAGTCACAGGGCAGGACTGCAGTGGTAGCAAAGCCCAGACATGGAACATTCTCTTTTGTGCTATGCTCACTTTCAGTTCCAAAGAAATACTGTTCACTGTTTCATTTTCTCTACAAAGGCACTGCATGCTGGTGTGGAAAACAGTGTGGTCCCACAACATTCCCCAGCTGTATATGTTTTAGTGAATGAAGCGACTTCCCCTTTGACCCAGATAGAACCCTTCTAAAATGCAGAAACCTGGATGAAGGTTAATTTGCAAAATGTTCACTTCATTCATCTCACAACAGCTAACAGCTGGAAAGAAATGCCCGAGAATGAGGAAATGGCTTGTAAGGTGGTACACCAGGCATGTTATCAAATGAATTTCAAAAATTATTTAATGTTACAGAAAAATAATGACAAGAAAATTACAAATACATACTCTGTATAGTGTGTAATCATTCAGATTACTGCTACCATAATTCAAAAAAGGGGCTTCCCCTTTTTAAACCCCTTAGCCTAGAGGTTCATTCTCAATGCTATCACACCTACAGCCTGAGTTCGATCCCCAGCCCTAACCCACAGAGCGCAGCAGACCTCTCCTGTCTCCCCGCTGCTCCCCTCAGCAGCGCATTTCAGTCTATCTACCCGTTCTGCTCCCCACTCTGTCTCTGGTGAACCCTCTTACCCCTCACATCTGTGAATTGCATACCCCAGTTCTTCTATGTGAGGCGGGGAGAACATTACTTCAACACAAGTTCAAATTGAAGAGGATACAGTCACTTACTGCTGGCCCTGGGAAGGAACTCCTGGTCCTGATGATTCTTCCTTCGTGACACGAAGGCCATACTTCAAGTTGACGATATCCATGAAGGACCAGGCCCTAAAACTGGGTGGTTTTGCCTTTCCACAACAAGCTTCCTTCCAAGCTTAGCTTCAACAGACCCCACCAGTCTGAGGAGCTTTCTTTACATACCTAGGACAGTGTCTTCAAAGCAAACCAGGTAGCCCCACTTTTCAGAAGTTCAAATTATACCAGTTTGTTATGAAAAATCACATAACTGGAAAGAAGCCCAAGAGGGGATTTTTCTTTTCACTTTGAGAAGCAAAGCCGCATGCAGTAGCTTCTCTTTAGCCCTCTGGTTCACAGAGAGTTTTCTGGAATGCTACTTTTGTATGGGGGGGATGCCTGAGGTGAGAGAGACCCTACATCCTGAAAGGAACTGGACACATTTGCATTATTCATGTGTTTATTTAACTTGGGGTGAAACTTTCTTTTTCTTTTTTCTCCTCTAAGACCTGTACATGGATTTTTTTTATTACAAAGTTTATTTTTACATCATTTTGCACATTTTTTTTTCCATCTCGATTGTAATCCCCGCGGGTTTCCCATCACCAAATCACCCCTGTGCCACCACCATAGTCCCGTGCATTTCCCTCCCTTCCCCCCCCCCCCCTTTTTGATCCCATTCCCCACTCCGCCCCCACAGAATGTCTCTGGTATATGGTTCATTATTTTTGTTATTTTCTCGCCTGGTCCATTATACTCCTGCTATGAGTGAAACCATCCGGTATTTTTCTTTCTTTTTCTGGTTTATCTCACTCAGCATGATCTTTTCCAGCTCCATCCAAGTTGCTGCAAAAGTCATGTGTTTCTCTTTTTTGGTTGCTGAGTAATATTCCATTGTATATATGTACCACATCTTTCTAATCCAGTCATCTACTTTTGGGCATTTAGGCTGCTTCCATGTTTTTCCAATTGTAAATAAAGCAGCAATAAACATGGGGGTACAAGTATCTTTTTCAATCAGTGTTTTTGTGTCTTTTGGATAGATACCTAGGAGTGGGATTGCTTGGTCGTAGGGAAGCTCCAGTACATGGATTCTTTAGAGCAAGATCCAGTCTTGGTCCCAGGGGCTGACATCCTGGGTGAACGTCATACACAGCTTCTCCTTCTGTTTAAACCTTCTAAGTGGAAAAATGCCTGTCAACCTTCTACACAGGTCTGCGGATGTCCGGTCAAAGGGGTAGGTTTAGGGCCCTCCCAAAGGTCAGCACAAGCCTTGGGGCTGGAATGGATCAGTCTTTAAAGCAGAAAAAGTGTGAGGAAAATGGGCAGTGAAACTTCAAGTACCATGCCCATATATAACGTTCAACCATTTGGCCTTAGGATTAAGGATACAGAAGAGAAGAAAGAATAAACCATGTAAAAAAAATGACTTGAAATTTGGAGTTTCGGGAGGTGTCTCGTCTGCAGCACGGAGGGCTGGGCTCTGGACGGCGACGGCGGGAGGGCTGGCCCTGCGGGACTGGCCAGCCGCCCTGCACCCACCCCGCACCCCACCCACCCCTTCCGCCTTCCCCTGCGGGCGGGCAGTCACGCCCACCCGAGGCCGCACCCCCTGGGCATCAAGGTCACTGCTCTCCCGCAGCCCGGCCCAGCCCGCTGAGGGACCGACCGGCCACTGGGGGGCGCCATCTCTCCACGTTGGAGACTCCGCTCTGGCTTAGAATCCATTTCTTTCTAGAACTTTCCGCGTGGAAACCTCAAGGGTCGGTGCTCCACAGCAATTAGCAGCCGGAGCGAGGGCTGCCCTGAGCCAGATTTCCCTGGGCGCAGGGGCCCAGTCTACTGTGCCGCACAGGCTCGGTCCACAGCTACTGACCCCAAGATACAGGGCCCCAGCCCCACTGACCCCCTCCTCCCCACAGCAGCCCGGTTAGGGTCGTCTCACTCAGGTTTAGCGGGGTCCCGGTGGGCTGTGGCTGGTGACCGCACAGCAGTCAGCCCGCAGGGTTCTCTGGTGCACACGCAGGGTGAACTCTACGTAAAAAAGGGGA